GGGGGGGGAGTAAACTAGAGTACAAATCCTATGAAGTATACAACTTCAAGTGCACTATCTTACATAGAGTACGTTAACATTTGAAATATTTTAGAACTTCATTCAGTACTTTTCCTTAAAGGCTACCCGTGTCCTTCCTCCAAAAAAGACGCATCTGTTTAAGGAGCAAACACCTTTACAGCTACGTGTATATGGTTTTCTCTTCGACGATACCTTCTGTATGATTCCTTTCATTTGTTTTCATTTATATATTTGTTTATTAATTTTTGTTCTTCAACAGGAACACATCTTGTGTTTGAAATAATAACCCTCCTGTTAAACAACAAGACGGAGCTAAGTACCTTGCCTAAACAAGACTACCAGATAGAATTAGTTAGCCAGGACCACCTTAACAATCTACCGTCTCCAAGACTGATAGACACACATCTGCCGCACCAGTTCTTCCCCAAAGAAGCTCTGCAGGTAAAAAATAACAGTCAGGGGCGGATTGAGGCCGTCTTCTGGGTCTTCCGAAAGACTTTCAGATTTGTCAAGTTTACATTGATGGGTATCTAATTTTTAATTTTTTTCTGTGGGAAGACGTTCAAAAATGGAGGATGGATCAACAAAGTAAATTTGAAAGACTGTCAGAAATTATCTCTGGATCCGTCCCTGCCAGTGGCATGCCCTAAGTCACTGCAAAGTCGTCTCATCTTGAAATCTAGCATGTAAATGTGAATAAAATGGACAGGGAGACGATGAAGATAGGAGACGGAAATGCTGGGTTCAGCCCCGTTCATTATCTAAAAGAAGATAAAGGGTGAAGTGAATACGTACCCGCAGAGACACTGCAAAACGACCTCTTTCGCACGTCGCACGTGGGGGGAGGGGGGGGGGGTTTAATGCCACACACACACACACACACACACACACACACACACACACACGCGCATGCGCGAACGCAGCAGCTTGATATTCTGGACCCGTCAGTGAAATAATGCAACATAGCTCTTTGAAACAAGCAGGTAATAATGCCTTAACTGCCTATTTAAACGCGTCCAACGCAGTGAAACTTTAAAAACTAATTTATTTATCATTTCGGACACCCTTTTTTCATTCATTAAGGCGTTTTTAAACTAAATTTCTAAACTACAGCAACAAACGGGTTAATCAAAAATAATTTTAAAAAACTTACAATATCCTAAATTATCATTGTCTGATCCAGGAATTTGATACACGACAGGTATAAGAAATTCATTCGATATCTTGCATCTATCAAACAGGAAAATCACTTGGTTTTGCCTTGGTTTTGTCTACCTTTTTTGTGGTGGGAGGTTGGAGTGGGCGGGGAGGGAAACTTCCAAAGCTAAGTAGGGATGGGGAGGATACGTGCCTGCTGCACATCCCCCTGGATCCGCCATTAGTGAAGATTGGGTGAAAAATCAAGCCATCCTCCCCTTTCTTGTAAGACGAGGATATTTTCAAATCGATATGATGACATTTGTCGGTGATATGAATATTTTCTTTCTCTTGCTTTCAGCACAACAAGATCGTTCACGTGAGCCGCAATCCCAAGGACGCATACGTATCCTACTATAATCTGGCTTACGGCATGAAACTGTTCGAATACGATGGGAAGTGGGATGGTTATTTTGAAATGATAATGGGCTATCAAAATAAAAAAATTCTTGGTATGTAGACTACGGTATAGATGGATGAACGTATGCTGAGAACATGTATTTACTTATAAATTAGTCTCGAGTCAACGTGGAGTCGTTGTTTATTTAAATTTCACAAAAATTGCCAAAAAAAAAAAATCTTGAATCAAATCAGCTGCATGTTTTATCCTTATAGTGCACATAATGAAAATTGCAGCTTTGTTGGATTATTGCATATGATATTTTAAAATTACAGATTACAGTGATTGGTTTGGTATAGTGTTACCGTGGTGGAAGTTGTCAGAGAACCATCCAAATATCTTGAATGTTTACTACGAGGATATTGTCGAGGTAAATAATTGACTGCATCGTGTAACCGTGTTAATTTTTGCTTTTCGAAAATAACAACACGCTTAAGGACAGTTCACATTCAAAAACTTCAGAGACTTCTTCATTTTAAATTAAAATATCATGGTGTCTTTAGAAGAGGTTCGGCAGCGGGGCGGCCGAATTACCTTTGACTACCTTTACACTAGCCTCATCTGACAATAACAGTATTACCCTACAAAATGAAATTGCTTTTTATTTTAAACATGAAAACCTGACGTACTTTCACTGGTTATTTTTTACTGGTGTTTGTGATGGCAAAATGTATTTCGATTATCCTTAACAATAAAATTAAAACGCATTATTTAGTACGAGTAGTGGTCCATGGGGATAAAATACGTTTGAAGAAAATACGTCGACAAGATAACTGCAAGTGTTATATATATGCCGTAAGGTTATAGTTTAGAGTGCATTTTTTTAAACCTAATGTGTGTTTGCAGCCGTGATGCAAATGACTTATTACCCCAATCTCCAATGTAGTCTTCAAACTGTCTCCGTGCAGAAAGAAATAATGACAATTGCTCATGGAAAACAGTTGAAGACACCATAGCAAAAAAACCTGTACCGTGCCAGTACATGTGACCCCCATGCCAATGACCTAAGATCAGTTACCCATGAGGTCAATGACCTATGAGTTTAAATACTGTAAACAAATAAGTGGGTAAATACTGTAAACAAACGTTTCCAAATAATCTCCATAATGTAACAGTTGAATGTGTTGATGTCTAGCTTATGGCTGCGTTTGTCTTACCAAACACATTGCTCATGATCAGTCACAACTGGAACCTTTTCCGGATATTATTGACGCAATTTTTTTAAAGGAACCCGTGAGTCAAGTCCAGAGAATCGCTGAGCACATAGGTAACCCCAAAGATGGCGCCACATACCAAAAGATCGCAGAGGCAACAACCTTCCACTCCATGAAGACCAAGAAACGCGTTGAGGGATTTGACTTGCAGTTCAACACTGACGAGGGCGACGTCTGGAAAGCGGGCACCCCGGGGATGTACAGAAAGGGTTTGTCAAATGAATATATAAAAATTAATCATGGTTAAAAATTAAGGAACTATTCTATCGATGGTTTAGATACTGCAGCATGAATTTTTAAAATAATATACTGGGTAAAACTCTACGTAAAATTTTCAAATGTATTTTAAGAATTATTTGATGATGGAAAAAGTCTTGGAAAGTATTTTTTGAAACCCACACATAAACGTAAAATTTTTATCCCTGTAAACTTAAAAAATAAAATATTTTATTGTCCATTACAGGGCAGATAGGGGACTGGAAGAATTATTTTACTGTATCACAAAACGAACGCTTTAATGCAGTTTATCAGTGCGCAATGATGCACTCAGGTCTACAGAATATGGGGAACAGATATGAGTGGAACTGAAGACCACTTCCACGTGTTTGGTTTTCAACATTGCTGTGTGGTAATATTTTTGCTGAAGACTGCCAATAGATAAGGTTCAATCCCTTAACGTCCCCGCAACGTTTAGCCCCCGCAATTTCTTTCTTCCGCACCTTTATTCCCTTGCACCTTTGTTTCATACTGCTGAAATATATGCATGGGCCCAAAAGTGACACATTTTCAAATCATCATTAAAAAAAGGGAAGGGGGGGGGGGGGGGAGCTGCGGGGAGTATACACGTGCTTAATGTAACAATTTTTCTAAGACGAATAATGGCCGTGAGAGTAATGGCCGTGAGACAGGAATGGTAGTCCGCTAGGAACTGTAGTCAGTTCCCCATTACTTTGTACAGGTCAAAACTCCTACTACATGTAACACTAACCAATACTTATCACATGGGACCCCGGACTATACTGTCACACCGAGACGTGAAGAGACGATTCTAGACGAGGGCACCCGATTTCCACATACGAAGCGCAGTGAGTAAAGGATATGTACGATTAACTTGGAAATTAAAATTGAAGAAAGTGCCAATAATTTTATGGGGAAATCTCTTTAGAGATGCAATATCACAAAAGACATATCTTATAAGAAAATATGATAATTGAATGTTTATGGGATTTGTAGTTTATTTTCATTTTCCACAAAGCAGTACGATGATAAAGAAACAGAACTTACCACCTTAAAATTACTAGAAAGAAATGGTATTTCAGTTCAGTACCCAAGCATTATATTTTTCTAGTAAGGTTACAAGTCTAGCAAAAATGCCTGGAAGTACAGGTATTGGAAAACGTATAAAAACGATTACGCGAATATTCAACCAGTGTACTTACTTGGATATATTTGTATCAAAAGATGATGAGTAAATACATAAATTTTGTGCATATTACCTTAGATCAATCGGCCTATGAAATGCCAATGCACGTTATTACCAAGATTTTACATACTGGCATATTACTTAATATTCTTTATATAACAATTTCAATTAAAACATTATATATAGGGAGTTACCAATTTCCTAACTCCATTTACTAAGTTCGTGATAAATTGCACACACACACACACAGATTTTTAATACAAGCAGATTAAAAAATCTAATAAATAAATAAATAAATGAAAACTTGTGAAACAGCAAAAATAAAAACACAAATTGTCTAACAAAATTTTACAGAACAATATCAATCATTAAAAAACATTTTTTCTTGTAAATAATTTGTTGTAAACCTTGTACAGAAATGCTGAAAAGGACACTACTGAAAAGTCAAAAAGAAAAAGACCCAAAGTCATATTTTATGTCTAAATATATTGCAAAGCTAATCATATTTCCAATAAAGACAATAAATGCACAAATCTTCTTATAGTCCGGAAAATTTCAGTACTACAACACCACCCAAAAAGTCGGAAATCTGCTAAAAGTCGGAAAAAATCTCATCCCTTTTTAAAACAACATAACCCCTAAAATAAAAGCACCAGATATCAACATTTCTTACTCTCTATGTACCATGGCCATAGATTGATTGTTCACCAGATTTTCACATACATGTCTCTAGCTTACTCTATGCACTTTCCTGTACTGTACTATCCAGAGGAAAATTATGTATGGAATTGATTATCTGTCAACTGGCCTGTAGTATTAAGGGACAAGTGACAGTTGAGCTATGATTCAATAACAGGAGAAAATCACTTTTTTTCAAGAGGTAACTTATATTTTGTACGAAAAAATCCCTCACAGAATACCTGTAAGTGAGTAAATTGTGCATCAAATATTATGCAAACTAAAATAAATAAATAAATAAATATTAAATAAATTATCTTCAAAATCTACTCAACTAAAATCCAATCTTAAAGTGGTAACACAAAAACATACACATAAAGATAAGTTAAATGACAAAACATTGTGAGCTTTGTCAACCAAATCTAACAATGGTGTAGTTTTTTCACGAAGAAATAACAATAACAACTACATAATATCTTGTGTCCAATAATACGCTACATTTTCCACATTCATTGAACTCCAGCTAAATTGTTTGGTCATGATAAGATTCGTGGTATAAATATTTATGGAAGACAAATGATAGGAAACCAGGATTATCAAGTCTGCAATTTAATGCAGATTATTCAGGCAGTTGTTACGAGTTCATTTCTCTCTGTAAATCACATTTTTATACTGTCACTGATCAGTAACTAAATATACCTCCAAAACTAAAATGTTTCAGCCTTCAACTAATGCGTTTGAACAAACTGTTTCATAAAATAAATGACTTTATTATATAAATAACTATTTGCAAACATGGCTAAAGCAAATACTTTGTTAAACATTATAAAAGTCCATCCTTACTTATATATATCAATCAATTTACGAAATAGATATTGAAATAACTGTTATACTTAATAACATACAGCTTTTGTTTTAACACACACACAGTATAAATTCAAATACAAGATATATTTACACAACATGAACACTTTTGTGTTACCATACAACATTTGTGAATCTAATGTCTCCTTAACTTGATGCTGGCTAGCTGATCATGATTCTAGAGGTTGTTACAGTGTGATGCTCATTAACATACAATGCCCTAATTTAAAAACAACAGTTCACTGCTTTGCATACCACACAATAGAATTTTAAGCACCCATGAATAAATTAGAGTAACAAGCTTTAGGCAAGTGACCAATTATTGAGGCAGATTATATATCAGTAATCATTTATAGTAGTTTTGGCATAAGTAATATAGGGTCATCAACTTCATCAATTTGGAAACTAAGGTTATTTAATCCGCTAAGATCAATTTTCACTAAGAATGTCATGAAGCTTTTGAACACTGTGCAACCAAGATATACAAGCTGCTCCATGATAAAGAAGTTTATTAAATCCTATTACTGGACATTTAAATTAGTCTAGTTGATGACATTGTATCTCCCTAGACAAACTCCCCGTGTTTCAAAAGCACTTGTATAATCACCAACTTTTCTATATTCTATTCAATGCCAGGAGGCATGTAAATCTGTTAATCAGATTAAACTCAGCGAGAGTCCTTATGGAATTAGTGTGCATTAGCATGGTTGACAAAATTTGTTGTGAACAGCTCCAGGAATGCAACATCAGCTAACTGAACTGCAGGTCCAGTAATAGATTTTAAGTACTAAAATCACATTATATACTTCTGGATGACCAATCTACTGCCAATCAATAAACTGGCAGAATATTACATATGTATATAATTAGAATAATTAACAATGACACATCAACACATTTAACATCTTTTGATATGCAGTTATACTTATCCATTAAATGGATCCACTGTTCATAAAAAACTTTTAAAATCACAACAGCAGCTTAAAAAATCAAATGGACAAACAAATATCCTAGCTTGTTACTTAAGTTTTAATCAAGTGCCTCAAAGCCAAATGGAAATATTGCCCAAAGTATAGCAAATGACATCTACATTTATCCAAAAAATTGCAATTTCTAAACCAGTGTAGCTATCAAAACAGCAAATATAATGAAAACAAAAGAAGAAGCCAAATTCGTGACCCCTGAAATCTGTAGAATCTCCATTGCCCGTTGCTTGGCAACTGCATCATTGGGGTTTTCTTTTGTAGCATCAAACCACATTTTCATACACGGTTTATCATCTGGAGTGACTTTCCAAGATCCATCCCATATTGTTTCACAAAAATTGGTGGCGTTCCCAAAAATTTCGTGGAATGGTTTACACGGTTTACCAGTTGGGCATGTGTTAACACCTATATATATAAAAAAAGAAAAAAATAGTTATATTAAAAATTGTTATATATAAAAAATAAGAGATTTTCTTCAATCAACAGCTAATATTAAAGTTGTTTACGTCAAATATTTTGATGTCTGTCTACAGCATTTTCATCAGGGAATGGCAGAGGTAAACAATTTCAACATTAGCTGTTGGTTGGAAAAGATCACTTTACTCTTATAACATTACACAGCTGATGAAATTCTTCTCCGATGTCGCATATCCTTTTCCTTTAAATTGATTTTTAACTTCTGCTGTTCAAACATGTTCACTTTGTTGATCTTCAGATCCAACACATGCCAACTTCCTTAATTTCAAATCTCTACATGTCCCTTGTGACACATGTAAATAGGCAGGCGTGGAAGATGTGAAAAATAAGAGGTACCATATTTGAAAATAAGGCTTAAATTAATTTTCTGCCCTGGGAGAAAAAAAAGTGTTAGCCTAAAGCCAACTGGTTTAAATCTTTGGCAATGGTATCGAAGATTTAGTGTTGAAACACCAATTTCTAAAACCTGTATCTTTAAGCCTCAAGACAAAATAATAATAAATTCAAATATCTGTCTTAACTTCAATATTCTTATAATGAATATTTTCTGACCTGAGGAAAAATTGAATCCACCATTGGACCAGTTATCTAAACACGTCTTTTCGTTTTTGCATTCATTGTACCAAGTATTGCAATCAGTTTCACAAAGTGGAGCATGGTACATTCTCTCCTTGCGCCATGTGCGACTTTCCTAAATAATAAGATAAAAAAGAGCTTTAGATTTATGCAGAATTTTTTTTTATTCAATATAATTCAATCAAGCGTCAGTTATGCTGAAATCCATCTCATAATGATGCCAGTAGGTATGCATATAATAATCAAATAATTCAACTAGGTGGCAGAACGCACCATTGAACTCTATTTTAGAACAACTATTTTCCTCTATCTGGAAAAACATTGTTCATCAACACTGCTATCAAGTAAAAGTAAATGAAAATTAGCCTCCTTGCTGGACACATCCAATAATTTAATTACATTAAACATCAAAAGCCCATTAATGGAGATATCGTGAAAGGTAGTATATTTCTTGTATCACAATTACATGTTATGATCTCTAAGGGACTGTTCAGAATGAGTTATGCTGATCTAGCTAATGTGCACTTACTCTCTGGAGACTCTCACTGAATGCAATCAGATTAACACACCTCCTCTTGGTTTCAAGGTAAATGTATAATCACCAGCTTCTTTGTGTTCTACTCAAAACCAAGAGGAGGCGTGTTAATCTGTTACTCTGATTGCATTCAGCGAGAGTCCCTGTGGAGTTAGTGTGCATTAGCTAGACCAACATAACTCATTCCGATCAGTCTCTGAGAGAGAACTGGTACAGACAGACAGCATCAGATATACATGTATATACTGCTAGATGTTAAAAATGCCAGGGTTACTCACCTGTACCAACCAAGGGCCAACATTGGGTGAACATTCATAGAAGCAGAGATCCCTGACAAAATATCTCTTACACATGTCAGACAAGGGTTCACAGTGGCCCCAGGTAAACTTGTACCAGGTGGCATTCTGGTGGAGCTCCTCCGTAGTCTTCTTGTGGCAACAAGCTCGGTTCTTCCAGGGCGTGCACTGAATATTGGAGATGACTACTCTTTTACTTCAGGATAAAAGACTCATATACTTTATAATAGCCAGAAATAAGCATTGCTTAATTTTGGTCAAGTGTTGAACACCCTACTGGTATATATATCAGTAAAATATGGCACTGCACAGGTTTAGTTTGTTCAAAAGCAAACTTACATAGCAGAGAGCCTCTGTGTGTAGGGTGTTGACAGTGAAAATATTGCAAGTACAAAAACTCTCATCTCCATAATACAGCTACAATTTTACCAGCATATCACACAATTAATGTAGCTAGTGGAGCTTTTACAGACTACAAAATCCAATATGCTTATGGCACATTTAATATACATTTACCACCATTTAACAAAATGTGTTAATATGTATAACAGTTAGCTTACAAATCATTACTGGTACTTCCTATTTGTCATATTTCTAGAGACCTAAAATTAGAACAAAATACTTCCGTTCTTCTATGCCAATAAAAAAAGATTGCTTCTATATACCTCTGCATGCAGTGAGTCTTCAGGCCCTGGTTTAGATTTATGACTCTGGGCGTCCATACATGTGTCCAGGAAATCAGACAGCTGGGTGCGGTCATTCAGTCGATTCCCAGAGACAAGTAGCATACAGGCAGTAAAAAGGAGCACAGGAAAACCCTCCATTTTTTTTATCTGTTCAGTTAGATGCAAAGTAGGATACTATCCCTGACACGTTGCAGTGGAGCTGAATAGAAGAAAAAATTAAATTTTCATACATGTGCTGGTTTATAACACTTTCAGCATGCTGTGCACTAGTGCGTTTAATCAGAGGTTTCAAATGTATCTTTAAAGAATGCCCTAGAAGTGATTTAACTTCAATGCATGAAAGCAGTGCTTACAACAAAACCAGTGATTGGAAAGGTTCAAGCCACCAATGGGACAATGAACCCCTGTTTGTCACCTTTAATGCGCCATTTTGCAAATAGATGGGCTATTTCACAAAATTAAATGGCCGTTTTTAAGCATGACAAATATATTCAAAATATCTATTTTTATATTTTTGGGGAAATGATATGATGTAAATGTAAATGCCAGTTGGTTTAAATTAATCCTGATATAGTTATTTAGTTAAAATACAAGATGATTTATTTTAATAATTCATTTTAATCATTTGTCTTTTTATCTTCTCAGACAGCAGTTAATTTTTGTTTATGGGATAAAAATCAGATGAACTAACTTTTCTACTCATTTTTGGAAGTGGCTTCTGTAAAAAATAACAGACACTGTGTCACTAAAACTGGAATTACTTTGGATTTAAATGAGACAGATCAACAATTTAAACTGTTTATTCACAGTCATGTATGTAGCTATCAGTGTGTAGGTATGTACTTGGGTAGATATATAGTGTTTAATTTCAAGACTTGAAGTCCCCAGCTTGATTAGTGAAAAAAAAATTGCGAGGATCATTGAAATAAGTATCTATGGTTTAACATGTATTTATTAATATAACATGTATGCATTGTATCTCCTGTCATAACGATTCATTCAACATGGTTGCTATTCAGGCATCTTATAGAAACCTCATAAAAATTGTGGACTTGCAAGGACGATTAACATGTCTCTCCATAACTGGATGGGGTAGTGAGCAAAAAAAACATGTACACACATTACGATGAAGTTTAACTTACGTGTACGCACATGCTTGACATTTGAA